AAATGACAATGGTAAAAAAGTATACATGGAACTTAAATAGAATAGGGTATATCCATTTTTTTCTTGTACATTAAATTATGGTCAAAAGTAGAAGTGCAAGTATTGTATTTCTGCTAGTTTTCATTCTATTATCTTTGTTTTTTTTTCAGTTTAGCACATGTGGGTGCAATACTCAATGGATTGGGAGGCATTGTTATTGGAGCTGCTCCTTCTTTAGTTTCATCCAGGTGGTTCCCTCCAAATGAACGTACAACTGCCACAGGTAAAAAAAAGTGATTTGTATCAGATTTGAGGAATTATTATTTTAGTAGGAATCTCATGGGTGTGTGGCTTTTAAGCCCAGCTCACAGGAACATGTGTTATTGAGTCATTTTGCCTTTTCTTTGTGATTCTCTTATGCGTAAGTGTTTCTTAATGTTTTGCTATTTTCCACTGGTCTATATTTGTGATTTATTCTGCTGTTTTTCTTGAGCAGTCTGTATTAACCCATTCTCGCCGGGTGTCACGTATACATGACATGCCCACTGTGAGTTTACTTGTTTAATTGTTTTTGCACATACATGGCTACACTTGTACTTGTACTGCCTGTCTCGCCTGTTTACCCTTTTCTTTGATTTACAAAAATATTTTACATTATCTTATTTTGCTGTTGCTAATGTTTATAACATTATAGTAATTATAATATTTATAATAAAAATAACCATCAATATTCATAGCACTAGTAAAAATACATTTTCCCGCCAATTCAAGTAAAGGTGAAATCAAGTAAGGCAGAGCCATCTAGTGTAGAGATATTTCACAAAAATATATAAAAAATGAGCACAGTATTTTCCCCATTTTTTGTTCATTTTTACGTGGCGTGAATGGGTTAACCCATTGCTGCTGGGGAAAATGAATAAAAAAATGGGGAAAATGCTGTTCATTTTTTATATTTTTGTGAAATGTATCTGTACATTGATGGCTCTGCTCTAGTGCTTAGCCACAAAGGAGTCAATTAGTAGATTTTGTGATTTCACCTTTCCTTGAATTCCTTGAATATTTTTTACCAATGCTATGAATATTGATGGTGTTGTTTTTATTATAGATATTATAATTACTATAATGTTATAAACATTAGTAACAGCAAAATAAGATAATGTAAAATATTTTTGTAAATCAATGGAAAGGGTGAGACAGGCAGTACTCATATCTGGCTCACTAGTGACTTAGTACAAGTGTAGCCATCTATGTGTAAAAAGAATCAAACAAGTAAATTCACAGTGGGCATGACATGTTTGTACATGCCCTGCCTGTCGGCAGTGGGTTAACCCAATGTCAGCGGGCTTATTTACTGTCCCCTTTAGATTTTAGTGAGTTTTGTTATGGTGCCATTTTGCTCAGCATTACTACTAATATTGATATTGTTACCATTCGTATTGATGTTATGAGTATTAAATTACTATTAGAATATTAAGAACATCAAAAGCAATAAAGTAATAGAAGTGAATCTTTCAAAAAAGGAAAGAAAAGGGTAGACAGATGAGATAGGTCTCTTTGGTGACTAAGCACTTGAAGAGCCATGTATGTGTAAAGACAACATATAAAACTTTTATTACAGTGGGCATGGCATTGTAGTCTTGCCACCTGCACTCATTGGGTTAAGGTGATATCTGTGTAATTTTTTTTATTTTTGTATTATTCAACTTTCTGTTGTACACTCTGCACTGCCTGTCACACTAGGCACAAAAGGGATCCAGAGTATTGAAATAATGTCCTCCCTGGCATTGGCACTCTTCCAGGCATGGCTCAAGGATGGTACATTTCATCCATTTTCACCAGTGAAATTGATGAATGAACTCTTCCTCCAAGGGTTTGTGTATTCATGACAAGACATCTCTGTTATCTGCCACTTGGTAACAATATTTCATGATGAGTCATTCCTGTCACCCCAACCTTCAGCTAAATTTTTTTCATCATGTAAAGGTTTCGTTACTCAGATCCAGTTGGTTAATCACGATTCATTTAGACTCATACATGCCCCTTTTTTTACCCCCCAAAATTCCTGTTGCTCAGGTAATTTCACATTGTCAAATGGAGCATGAAGCAGTCTGATATGTGCAATAGAAACCTAATGTTTAGATATGCTACCTGGCATGCATATAGAGAGAGTGAAGTTGGTAGAAAACACATTGTCTAGGAGGTAGAGTTGAGATTTGGTGAAATACATGCTTTTATGTTTAATGGCAATATTGTTATTCTCCTTTCTTTTTTAAAGGTATAGGTTGTACATTCAATCAGTTAGGCAATGCTGGGGGATTTTTTTTCGGCCCATGGTTGGTGCATCTGCCAGGAAATCACTCGAAGCCAGACAATACCACAAGTGATACTGATGTTGAAGATTTGAGAAGAGCTATTTATGACTACATGTGGATAAGTAAGTTACGATAATTTTGCTTTTGTATTAGTAACAGCGATGAAAAATATTGCACAACAAGCATATGGTTTTGTAATTGGTCAAGTT